TTACATAGAAAGGTGTAGTGATGTCACTGACTGAATTCGATCTCTTTAAAATGCAGAATGATGTCAACAGATCACCAGGAGAGAAGACAATTGAGGCAGCGCTGTGTGAGTCCTCAGGAAAGTGATACAAGCAACAGTTGGGTGTGTCGACCAATCAGTGTTTAATGACATTTTACATTGAGTAGCAGGGTCGATATAAAAGTCCGATAAAATGTTCTGTAGTTTGCTCTCTCTCTCTCTCTCTCTCTCTCTCTCTCTCTCTCTCTCTCTCTCTCTCTCTCTCTCACTCTCACTCTCACTCTCACTCACTCACTCACTCACTCACTCTCTCTCTCTCTTCTCTCTCTCTCCTCTCTCCTCTCTCTCTCTCTCTCTCTCTCTCTCTAACAAGGCGATCGTGTACACGGAAGGGGTAGGGTCGGCGAAGTACAAAGTGGTATCTGTCAGTGCTCCTTCGTCTAACTTGCAGAACAGCATGGGCACCGCCTTTGGAATGAAAAGAGGGGGTTGGGTTACGGACATTTACACATGACGTATATGTGTGCATTTTTCACATATTGTTCATTCACAGATGAGGTCTTGGTTTATTGCATTGTCATGTGTTATGGCCATTGGGTGATGCTGGCGAAGGGAAGGAAAAACTAGACCGGTTAATAAACAAAACAAAACAAAAAACAAAACAAAACAAAACAAACTTACTATACGTTCTATATCCCGTGTGGTCTAGTGGCTAGGATACGCGGCTCTCACCCGCGAGGCCCGGGTTCGATTCCCGGCACGGGAAAGATTTTATTTATAGACAGGATTCGCGCCAAAGATTAATTTGTTTAATTGGATTATGGAATTAAACATCAAATGATGTTCTAACTATAACTATAAATATAAAGTAAAAAAAAGAGAGAGAGACGAGAGAGACAGAGAGAGACAGAGAGACGAAACAGAGAGACAGACACAGGCGGACAGAGAGGGAGAGAGAGATTATTATTATTACTACCTGAATTATTGTCATCATTATCATTTTCTTTATCTTTATTGTTAGCATCACTATTATCATTACTATTATAGTTATTATTATTTTCTTGTAATGATCTTATTATTGTCTTATTGCATATACTATCATAAATTATCATTACCATCACATCTTTATTACTATAATTGTTACTGTTATTTGTATAGTTCTCTTTGTAGTTACTATTATCAAAGTTATCATTATTCCAGATTTTTTTTTTTGAAAAACAAGCTCTATATTCCATTAACATCAAATGCCTCAAATGTTTTTTTCCCTTCTTTTGATCTACTTTTATGTTTATTTTTTATTTTATTTTTGTCTTGTTTATTAATGTACAACAATTTCTTTCCTTCACGTTTCCTATACATCACATATTTAGTCATATCTTATCTTTTACTGAAAAATCTCCATATAAGAAAAAAATAACTATCGAAGTACACTCTGCCGGTATTTCAGAACGACCTTTAAACCCTCTCGGCCGGTTTGTTTGAAATTGTGCGATACCCGACCCAGTGAATATTCATTATACGGACATGCATATACACAGAAATAAATACATATCTATCGGTCTACACACGGAAATCTATCGGATAGATAGATAGATGAATATACACTATCAGGTAGATATACACATATGCATATATTTCTGTGTATATGTATGCCCGTATATGTGAATATTGATTGGGTCAGGCCTAGAACAATCTTAACAAACTGGCCTTAAAACGTTTTTTTTTATCATTTACATCAACTTTATGATATTACTAAAATATTGTGTCACTGCAAATCTTGTTGACTTTACTTTGTCTACTTTAGTTTTGCTTTAATGAGCATGTTTACTTTGACGAATCCAATAAAACGCATTCGAATAACATCCACGGTGTCCGAAGACGCTAAAAATATTTCATGTGACTTTGAAGCGGAACTTAAATTCATTTCCTCATTTCCATCATCGATATATAATATATCTATTTCATTCCATAAACACCAATAGGCTTAGGAAAAGGTGGGCCGCCTCCTCTCCCCACACTAGAAGGGAGGGGGGCGGGACCCAACTTCTGCCCCCCCACCACCACTTAATATTTGAGGATATTCCCTGTAAACAAGCAAACAGTGCAATTCCCTAGTTACCCAGTTGTTGAGAACACTGACCTCCTGCAACAGAGGGCAGCTACAACTCAATCTGAGTGTTCAAAATTAATCAATCATATTTTCATCTGAATTATGTTTTTTTCATATATTCATTTTTCTCTTTTTATCTTTCTATTTGTTTCTCCTGGTGTAAAACTCATTTTCTTTTCCCTTGTTTCTTTCCTTCACTCCTCCTTCCCTCCAATCTTGGCATTATTCGTTTTCTTCGTTTTTGTTCTTTTTATGACTATCTGTCGTTCATTTTTCCTTTTTGCTCATCGATTCTTCCTGTATCTTTCTGGAAACTGATTACTTTTAGTTCCACACACACACACACACACACACACACACACACACACACACACACACAACACACACACACACACCACACACACACACACACACAAACATACGCGCAAGCATTAAAACGTACACACTCATAGAAAATTAATTCTGCATTGCACTCTATCATTTTTTTCCTTCTATTTTCCTCTTTTTTTACTTTCTAGTCTTTCTTACGCCGTTGTTTACCTTCGTATGACGCAACTGATGGTAATTGTTTTTAATCCTTACGCTCTTCACTTATTTTGCTTGCTAAACTTTCATTATCTTATACATACCACATTATTTTCCTTCACCTTAGCTCCTTCATCTTTCTACCCCATTTTTCCATTTTTTTCCTTCTGTTTCTCTCTCTCTCTCTCTCTCTCTCTCTTGTCTGTCTCTCTCTCTCTGTCTGTCTGTCTGCTGTCTCTCTCTCTCTCTCTCTCTGTCTCTCTCTCTCTCTCTCTCTCTCTCTCTCTCTCTCTCTCTCTCTCTCTCTCTCTCTCTCTCTCTCTCTCTCTGTTTCCATGGCATGCATATACGTCCCTCAGTTCACCAGCCAAGCTAACTGGTTCCACGTGGACCTCATGTTGTCCGCTTGTTTCTAAATATAGGCCGTTTCGCACGTGACGGCTTCCTCCGCCAGCGCGGGTCACTGCCGGCCAATAAAAACACATGACGCAGTGATTCTTCGCGTGTTCTTTATTCCTTGTATTTCTTCTTTCGTTTCTTTAAATTTTTATCTGGCAACACGAAACTACATACATTCACTTGCAGAGATACACTTATACAGATATATAGACGAATGAAAACACATACATGCATACCCACATTCGCACATACAAACACATAAATGCTCATTTTGATAAAACAGCATAAGAAATTAATGTTTCACGCTTAGAAAAAAAATACAGTGCCTGAAGGTGATGGCCAAGGCTCGTCATAGCGTAGAATTAAAATGCTTGAGACAAGCATAAGAAATTAAACGAAATACAGTGCCTGAAGGTGATGGTCAAGGCTGGTGAATTCGTCATAGCGTAGAATTACTATGCTTTGACACGTTTACTGAGACCAGAAAAATTATACCTCAAAGGGATGAGTCAACTTAGGTTATCCTCACCTCTAACTTAACAAGTCCCTGTGTGGGCTCACAATTCATATTCAAAAGTTAGGTATAATAACATTTAAAAATATATACAATACTTAAATTACAAAAACACAAGCATTCAGTCATTAGCTCACAAATCGAAAAGGCGTGCAACAAACCCGGTCGAAAATTTATGACGCGCACGCCGAGCCTCCACGAAGTGCGAGTGTTGCCACCTTCAGTTCATTAATATTTTTTGTTGTCTCTCCAAGCCCGTGGCAGAGTTGGATAAGATATTTTGATATATTGCATTACCTCCTGGAGTGACGCGTCCGAGCGGGAGCGTGACTCACTGTTGAATGACTGTCGAGGTCAAGAAGAAGGTCGGAGTCCACGAACGAAAGGGGCGTGGCAAGGTTAACACCGGGGGGAGGACGCGGGCACAACGCCGGTTAATGGTTAAAAGCGAAATAAATGAGTTTGACATTTAAGGTCATATACTATAGGAAAGTATAGTAAAGGGTGATGGCAGGTGATAGTTGCTATGCGTCAACTCTCTAGAGTAATGTTGGAAAGTTGAAGATAGGTAAGTGTGTGGATGAGGGAAAGGGTTATGGTGGCTTAGGTAAGGGAATTAGATCAAGTGAAGGATATCTATGCGTCTGAGGAAGAACAGGTTGTTATAAGAAGCAAGGATATGGCGTAGGTCTGGTCTGTGAGAACGGAAACTGCGAATATTCAAGTAAGGAGAGCTATATCTTAGTTGTTTTGTGAGTGAAAGCGTCTGTACGTGTTGGGGAATCTGGGGGGGGGGCAAGGGGGTGTTGTGGCATGAATGATTCCACAGCGGTTAGAGGGCGTGACCTTCGGGAGCAGCTGACTACTCAGATATCTACTTTTGTATCTGTATACATATATCTTTTATAGTAGATTTCTCATCTTTATTTATGCATTTCATTTTATCTTCTTTTACTTAGTTTTGTGCGCTTGTTTGACGAGTCATGGACTTACTTCATTTAGAATTTAGCTATCTAGGAATACATGTGTTTGGTCGTCAAGCTAAAGTAATGGTTTAATCATATGATAATTTAACTATTTGATTTAACAGTTAATATACTGTAAGTAATTTATACAGGTGTAAATTGCAAAAGTAGTTTACATTAGTATCCAAGCCCATATTATCTCCATTTTCTTTCAACGAATAAAAAATGTTTCATGCTAAAGGGTAAACATTAAAAGCCAATATATCCTTTACATCCTTAAAAACATCCATTTACGGTTGCGGTTACAATATGATAAAATATAATGTATTTAGGAACAGCAGAGTATGATCATAATTCCATTACAAAAAACACTGATAATTGAATCAACGACAATTGTGAGATTTTGCCATTAATATCGAATATAAGGATATACGATTAAAACATAGACAGCGATAAATTTGCCCTAAAATGTCCATGATGTGGTGTTTGATTACACATGACCTCAGGTGTCATCCTAAGAAGAATACCCATTAAAAACATCATAGTGTATATAATCTGACCTTCAATAGTAAAATAATAAAATAATAGTAAAAAGAGAGCGTTCCCAGACATTTCCCTGTCCCAATCCTCTAATCTGTCTTGTTTCAGAAAGGGTCATTGTGGAAGGAAAGGCACTGCCGAAGATATCAGCACCGTGTACAGGGTCTCGCATGATGTTCGTATTCAACCTCTGGCAGGGGACATCAACACACACAGCGTCGCGTCGGATGGTATAGTGATGTCACTGACTGAAATCGATCTCTCCTTATAACGCAGAATGGTGTAGAGCAGGGGTTCTGGTAGGTCATGAAGCAATCTGAAAAATTCGAACTAAACTGAATTGCATCTCGCATACAGTACCAACATATTATCTCTCACACATTAATGCACTGAAATAATTCCATAGAATGTTCTTGTCCTATAGCTACTAACACCCTTTCAATATTCATAATAAGCAATAACCGAATTTGAAAAGATAGTCACTGAACAGGGATATGGAGATTATTAAATACTGATCGGGGGCCAGAGAATGAAAATAGTGAGAATCACTGGTATAGAGTATGTAATTAAATCACCAAGAGAGAAGACAACTGCACATGATCCTGAGTCTGCGCTGAGTGAGTCTCCAAGAAGACGACCTAGTTGGTTGTGCCTTGATCAATGAGTTGACACTGAGTAGCAGGTTCAGTCTAAGAGTCCGGTAAAATGTTCAGTAATTTTGTCTAATCCCGTCTAACAACCGTTTTTTTTTTTGTCTGTCTGTCTGTTTGTCTCTCTCTCTCCCTCTCCCTCTTACTTACTTACTCCCTCTCTCTTAATACCTATATAAAATTTGCTGTTTATCATCATCAGCTCCCAAGTATTTATTTCAGTTGACCAGAGTCGGGGCGGTGACAGAGAGCGAGCAGGATGCCTGTATGCACGACAAGGATATCGTGTACATGGAACGGGTAGGGTCGGCGCCGTACAAAGTGGTATCCGTCAGTGCTCCTTCCTCTAACTTGTAGAAAAGTACGGACAATGCCTGCGGAGTGAAAGAGGGGGGTTGGATCATTGACTTTTTACATGGGAGGTATAATTGTGTGTTAGTCTTAGTTTATTGGCATTGTCATATGTTATGGGTATGGAGAGATTATAGCAAACGGAAGGCAAATAAATAAATAAATAAATAAATAAATAAATAAATAAAATAAATAATATAAATAAATAAATAAATAAATAAATAAAAATAAATAAATAAATAAATAAATAAATAAAAATAAGATAAATAAATAAAGATGACTCTCACATGTAATATCCCGTGTGGTCTAGTGGCTAGGATACGCGGCTCTCACCCGCGAGGCCCGGGTTCGATTCCCGGCACGGGAAAGTTTTTAACTGCAGTATTTACAGAATGCGCAAAAATACAGAGTAATGGACACGGATTCGTGCCAAAACTTCATAACGACATCGGGTTTTTAAAATATATTATATATGCAATTTATCATCAAATAATGTTCTGTAGTCTATAAGTATAAGCATCTATGGCTGTGATTTATAATATACAAAAAAAAAAAAAAAAAATATATATATATATATATATATATATATATATAATCTAGAAAAAAAACTCGAAATAATTGTAAATGGAAATAACCACAAGATCCTTTCGCAACATTCTATCTCTAATCGCGAGGACGAAGAGGGCACGTGCACGCAGACGAAGCCATGGCAAAAAAAAATCATACGAAGGATCATTTAGTAGTAGTAGTAGTAGTAGTAGTAGTAGTAGTAGTAGTAGTAGTAGTAGTAGTAGTAGTAGTAGTAGTAGTAGTAGTAGTAGTAGTAGTAGTCGTCGTCGTCGTCGTAGTAGTCGTAGTCGTAATAATAATGACAATGATAATGATAATAATAATGACAAGGATAATGATAATAATAATGACAAGGATAATGATAATAATAAAAACAGTAATAATGGTAATATAATAGTAATAACAATAATAGCTTTACTCTAAACCATTTATATGTATCGTTCTCCATTTAAGGCAATAAGGGACAAATAAAAGAAATTCAAACTTACAAAAGAGGAAAGAATGAACGAGTATGACGCTTTCAAGCTCCATGAGAATGCCCAATAAACAGTGGAATTAGACAAGGAAAAACGAAGGCAACTTTACACTGGAAGTAAGACAAATGAGAGATCATGACGATAAAGTTTAGAAGAAAATATGGTAACGAAGATGTAGGGAAATATTGCTATCCAAATCGGACCATTGATAGAAATAACAAAGACAAAAACAAACAAACACAAAAGGCGGTACATGTGCTAGAAACTACGTCACTTGAAAATGTTCTATGGCCATCTAAATACAAGAGAAGGGAGCGCGCGTGTATGCGTATACGTGCAGTCAAAGATACCTTATCATCTTTCGTGTCGTGCGTGATACCTCACCTCAGAGGGCACAAGAAGTCTGTTATTGAAAGCGAAGACTGTAACGGAATCCTTCGCATCGCTTATGTTCTGCACCCGCCAACGCCTGAGCTGAAAAGGAAGGAAAGAGCATTGGCGTTTCTTTCAAAATGTTTCTGCTGAAGTATCTAACACATTCCCACACTGAACACGATATCAGCCTTAAGCACAATGTAGAACCAGCATTATCATAACATTAAAAGCCAATTTTAAGAAATGTTAATGTGACATAGAAAAAAGAAACAAACAATAAATAATTCGTCCAGCCATACCAAAGGACTTACAAATAATTATAATGATAAAAAAAACGCAAAATAATAATAATGGTAAAAAATAAAGTTTTAAAAGGTTCTCAACCACGTAATCTGGAGTATCGATGCAAATTTCACCACTCCTGTAGTCCATGATGTTCGCGAGGGCTTCCTGCGTGGCTTCGAAACTGACATCAAAGGCGATATTCGCAGTCACCTTCGCCAACACCTCGCGGGACACAGCACCTCGCAGGCGGACTTCCACGGGGTAGTGGTCGCTCACGTCCTCAATCTAACGAATAATCAATCACTTAATTAAATGTTATATATACTGCACATATGTTTATGTCGTTTTAAAGAATTTCAAGTCTTCGAAAATAAAATGGCTAAAATATGTTTTATCCGAAAGTATAACATTTACCAGCTCCTGGTCTTTGAGTCCGAGTTCCTCTTCGAAATAGTAAGCTTTGGCTGAGCCCGAGTACACGACACTCGTCAGGTTGGATCCAGACACCACGATCCTTAAAAAGTGGTTCTAATTATATTATATTGTAAAAATGATCACACACACACACACACACACACACACACACACACATATATATATATATATATATATATATATATATATATATATATATGTATGTACATATACATACATATCTATCTATCTACATAATATTCCAAACGCCACAACCTACGCCTGCCTGAACCCACCTGTCGTAGGGGCAACTTGTGCCCTTGACCGTCGTGTCGACGTGATCGGAGATGAGCCAGTTGAAGCGCGGATCTTGTCGCAGCCGGACGTTCGCCCACTCGCTGCTCGTCACGTAGTCACAGCCCGCGTTGAAGTCACCCATGATTATCACGTCTGTGGGTGGAGAAAATTCGGGGATTGCTTTCATGGCGCTGGATGTTGGAGCTGTTTACCGTTTTCGGTTCTGGTGGTTTTATAATGGTGCACTTTTTCATGTATTTTTTTTTATTATTATTATTATTTCGTTCTACTTCCCTGGCGTTTATACATGTACACTCTCGTTATCTCTTCTTTCTTATTTACTCATTCACTAATTGAGTCATTCTCTCTCTCTCTCTCCATCCCTCTTCCTCTTCCCCTCTCCCTTTTCCATTCCCTCTCTCCCCTCACCCACACTCCCCACCCCTCCCCCTCATTCCATCTCACCGCTAGCGCCTTGCAGCTGCACTCTCACATCCTCATACACTTCCACCAACGCATCGATCTCGTGTGCCGCATCACCCGGTCTGGTGTGGATCGAGACAGTTCCGAACCGCAGCTGATTCGAATCCTCAAACACCGCCACGTAGGGATCATACTCGAAGGCGTCAACTGGGTCAGAGTACTGGTGGGCGGACACCAAGGTCGCTCTCGAGGGCTTGTAGTAGATGGCGTACCTGGAAAGAGAGGTGTGTAGTTTGTTTAGACTTCTTTGTTGTAGATCAGTGGTTCTTAACCCTTGGGTCGCTAAGAATGTGTGGACATTTTCCCCCCAATATACATATTCAAAATGTTATCAAAACATTAATCCTGTGCATAGAATATCTTATTCATTAACATCTAAAGCTAAGCAAATAAGACATAGATGATTTAACATAGGTGAAAAAACAGTCCAAATTTACTCAGGTTTTTAGAAAGATGGGTCGCCATAGTTAATCTGGCCAGGATTTTGGGTCGCAGCCAAAAGGTTAAGAACCACTGTTGTAGATGGCATACTCTTTGCTGTGTGATAACATTTTTTTTTCTTTTTGAAATGATGGACAGTATTCATGTTGGCAAATGTAGAAGATATCTTCGTCGGAAATACATGTATTTCTGACGAAGATATGCTCGAAACCGGTCAAATACATTTCTTGTATTGTGAAGATATTCATGCTCATTCATATCTTTTCTGAAATATTTATTGAATTTTGTCTAAGGATGTCTATTGCAGTCGCACATATATTTCAGTAATTCGTTTAATTATGCTTAATTATAGCTGTTCGGTAATAATTTCAACTGAGACAGTGTCAAAAGAATCATACAATTAATGCGGAAAGAATTACAAACATATTACCTCCGAAACTATTAAAACGTCTGAATCATTCAATAAAACCCTTCAGCCCTGTAACTAATTATTAAAACTACTAGTGTAATTAAATCCACTTACTGTTCTTTATACCTTTTCCTTCCAACCCGTTCGGACAGCGAGAGGTTGTAGGTGTCAGTCAGTCCTTCGTTGAGAGCACTTAGAAGGAGTTTCGGTGTTCTTTCCGTGACGTCCTGCACCTCCAGCACCGCCACCACATCGTACCTGCGAAGTACCTGTCGAAGAAATGCAAAAACAATCTAGAAACGACCATTTCCCAGCGTAGTTTTATTTATTTATTTATTTATTTATTTATTTTTTTTTTAGCCGTGAACCTCCTACACAAACGCCATTTCCACCTTACAGGAAAAAAATGGGTCCTATTATCCCTTCATGAAGAAGTCCCAAGGACCTGGAAGCACAAACTGAACCGTGTCTCTTGCCTGAACCATGATGGAAACCACCTCAGGCTTGCTCATCTTGACTTTCCCGAAATGCTGGACATTCCAAGCCCCGATCCTCAGCGGCGTCACGATGTCGGCTCCGTCGATGCTTAAAACCGCCACCGCAAGAAACGCCGCAAACGCCAATACGAACTCCATGTTTCTCCTGTATGAATGGGAATGACGATGTTGGCATGAATCTCGTCGTTGTCATCGTTACAATTTTCTTTATCATTCTTTTTGACTCCCATTATCATTATTATTATCGCTGGTCTCATATCTATTATTCTAACGTTTAACAATATTAGGATCACAATTATTATAATCGTAATCACCGATATTTTTGTCGTAAGGAGAATGGTGGTCAACTCACATCACGCGTGTGAGTTAAGTTGAAGAGCGTTAAGAAAGGATTAGATTTTAAGTGGTAAGGTGTTTGCGTGTAAGTGGCTTGAAGTGTTGTGGTAGCCCTTTCCAACGGGTTAAGGTAAGTCTGAAGGAATCTCGTAGTAGGCATAAGAAATCTATTAATGAGTGACTTTCATGTGCTTCACGGGTGTCATGTATATTCAGCTTGTAGGCAATCGTGCTTGTCCATACCGATGAGGTTGTTTATTACCATTTATGGGCTTGCATATCTCGTGTAGTTCCAAGTTGACGTGGCAGATTGTTTTATATATTCAATCAATCCATATTAATTCATTTTGTTAATTGGAGAGTAAAATGTGGAATAAATCACGGGGATCTTGTATGAACCTGCACGAACCTTTCAGCTTGTGAAGGCTACACGCTAGTACTCCATGGTTTGTGCCCTACAAAAAGTAATCACATCCTATATTCCTTTTAGTCTGAAATAACTTGAAATGATGCAGATCTTTATTGGAAATAAACAAATTTATAGCCAAGATTAAACCCCAGTATTCAAAGATCTTAACAAAACCTCCAACCGCAAGTGAAAATGGGCTGCAGATTTACTATATATTATTATTATTATCTTTATTTTACTTCTTTTATCTATTTATTTATCTACTTTTTGACAAGAAACTACGTGCAAGATACATGGCCACGTAATCTGGTCCTTTGGCGCACAGATAAAATTAACGCGTGGCAGTTTGTACATTCTCAAGGGGACTGAGGGCTTAGCAGAGGGACTGTGAGGATTGTGAGGGGGGAAATATAGGCCTGTTCACTGGGTATTCGTCAGTATTTATGGTAGGGATATACTAGTCTTCTAGGAATAATTTACATATCACAATTAGGTACGTAAAGATTGCTGAATATCATCTCATAACCAAAAGATATGTAAAAAAAAAAAAAAAAAAAAAAAAAAAAAAAAAATATATATAATATATATATATATATATATATATATATATATATATATATATATATATATATATATATCTATATATATATATGGAACAGCTGATATCAGAGGCCGTGAATGTTTGTGGTACTTTTGAGAAAGTTGTGACGTCTGTAATCAGGTTGGCAACCACTGTTATTAATCCTGAAGCTGCCATACATGAATAAGAAAAGGAAAATACAGTTGGCCCGAACGTATGTATTGGTTCTTTGTCGGTTTTTAAGGTTATCCTAAGGTGATGGGGGAGAGGTGGGTGTTAACTCGATAAATATACGAATCTGACGAAATGAAGGTTGATATCGCCAATATCTTTTCTCACTCGTGTCATAGTACTAATGATAGAATTAAGGTTTTAATGTAACGACACTCGTGCACGTGGGGGATAGCATTTTGCACACGGGCCCAAGGTCTTACGAGCGATGAGATCGTCGATTCAGCATCATGCTTGGAAATGCAGATTCAACGAAAGGTAATTCGCGCATTCTTTAGTCACAAAAACGGACAGGAGTATTAGGTTAGATTCTGATCATTTCAGCGATAAATGTCTCTGAGTAATATGAGTGGATATGTCAGGCAATGACGTAGATTATGTGACAACTGTGGAGGCATGGCATTTATATTAGAAGTCGATCTATTATTTTCTTATTCAACCAACACACCGTAGTGGTACTTCAAGAATAGTATATCATTTACCAGTGCCACTATCATCACCAGCAAGTCTCAGGATGCGTCCTGAACCCGTGAAACCCCTGAAGCAAATCACGCACGAGCACTTGTGGTAGTAAGGATCAGTGATAACGGTTCTCACATATTAACGAATTATGATGCTATGAGATAACCACCAAAAGTCACATCATTTTCATTATTTTGCTACTTTGGGATAAAACACTAATTGAATATGAACTGAAAAAACCTACATAGAACCAGTTTTGTCACATTCTTTTACCTGGATCCGGTACACAAATAAGCAAAATCCGTCAATTTCTGTGCGAATAGGTTGTTTCGAATCCTCTGCACGGCGCTGGTTCGAATATTCCGTGACAGGAACTTGATTCACCTTACTTCACGAAATGCTTGTCCTTTCCTTTCTACTTTCTTTCAACTATAAGAGCGAGAATTGGCTTAATTTTCTTTTTTTTTTCTTTTTTACTTTCATTATCACCCAAAACACGAAAGCCAAAAGAGATTCACTGACGGAAAAATATCCCTCAATGTAACAGTTTGAAAAGCAACTGAAAGTGACGCTACGGTAAAGGGCAACACTGACCACTAACATAATTAACCACAAAAGGCCATAATCCTTTACAACAACAAAGGTTAATTACCCTCCACAGCAGAAAAGTAACCTGTAAACCAGCACAGGACGAGCACTAGTTATTTGCTCAACCCGTCGGTGGTTACTCTGGACTGAAGCCAAAACGGGGTAAAGAGAACGACCGGGCAACCGCCACCACGGATCCTGTTTTCCTGAAGTTCGGTATGCACAGTCACGCACACTAGTTTCTGCTCACGACTACTGTAGACATTACACCAATGTTACCGTACAGCTTGTAGCCTCAGGTTCGCATACCCGTTTCTGAAGTGAACAAACTTACGAAACTTACGAAAAAATATGGTAGTAGTGTGATAGCAAATGAATATCGGTAAATTTGTAAATGACACTTTACGCCAATTTCCAGGTGATGGCTAGATACTTCCCTTGGACCTAGGTTATATTCATTTATTTATATATTGAAAAAAATCTACCGTATCAACATTTAAGATCATTAGCGAAGCATTTAAAATATAGTGATACACCAAAGGTCATACAGCGCTATGATAAAGTATTGTGTCGAAAAGTGTAAAAATGAATTATCAATAAGTACAAAATATGTTAGATGTCAAAAGTTGTACAGCACTGTAGATTAGTATGGTAGTGAAAAGGGCATAGAGGGAAGAGTAAGGCCGTTCAGGACAGACAAAGAGCGTCCTTTGTCCTTTCAACAGGGCACTCACACCTTAGAATGTAAACAGAAGGGGATGAAGGGAAAGGAAACAAGAAAAGATAGATAGATAAATATAGGTATATGAATATATATATATATATATATATATATATATATATATATATATATATATATATATATCTGTACACACACACACACACATCACATACACACGCACACAAAGAAAGGAATTCTTATAAAGTTAGAAATTAATCAGGACCCCATAGTGGAAATTAAGGTAATTGAGGTAGATACAAATGGGTGTAAACATAATAATAACCACGGTATACATGCCACCTCAAACATCGGTGTGGTCACTAGAAAATTACCAGAAACTAATTCAAGAGACAATAAAGAGCCTGGAAGAAGTGCTACAACTTTCGGAAACCAACTCAACAGAAATTCTTATTACAGGGGACTTTAATAGCAAAATCGACTGGGAAAGTTTCGATCCTAGAGCACAATCAGATTCGTGGAATGCTAAATTACTAGATGTCATACATGAGCATTGCCTTTTCCAGAATGTAACAGATCATACCAGGATAAGAGGGCTAGATAGGCCGTCTATGCTTGACCTAATATTTACAAAGCATAACGACGATATTAAGGATATCGAGTACTGTCCTCCTTTAGGAAAAAGCGACCATGTAGTGATTAAACTAAAATACTGTCTGCTACAGGAAAAACTCATCGTAAGCAAGGAAAGAAAGGAAAAGTACAATTACAAAAGAGGTGATTATAGAAGCCTTAAAGATTTCTTTGATAACATAAACTGGGAAACACGTCTGGATGATGAGAACCTTGATGTTCAGTATTCAAAATTTTGTGAGATCTATAAAAAAGGAGTGGAAAACTTCATATCCAAATTCAAAATTGAAGCAAGAAATGGCCAAAAATGGTTCAACGACAAATGCAAGAAAATGAGGGGAAAAAGCATCTCCTTTGGAAAAAATTTAGAAGGCATAGATCTCAGGCAGCATATCAAAGGTATACAGTGGGAAGAAATTAGTATACCCAAACCATGAGAGAGCCGAAATTAGACTTTGAAAAGGATATAATCAACAAATGTACAAGTCAACCAAAACTCTTCTTTAACTACATAAATAGTAAAACTAAAAATAGGGATCAAATTAGCGCCATCAAAGACAATAACATTATATATTTAAGGAGGAAGAAACGTGTGAAATCCTAAATGAGAAATTTCAGTCAGTGTTTGTTCAGGATGCATGCTTTGATATGGCAAATACCCGTACAGGCGTAAAGAACATCGAAAATATCACCCTCAAAAAGGACGAAAGAAAAGATCTACTAAAAGGATTAGACAAGACCAAAGCAGAGGGACCAGATGGAA